CGCCTGCTGCATTGATCTCTTTGACGGCGGCCTCGTAGCTCTCGGGCGACCTGGCGAGAAGAGCAACGGGATATTCTTTGGAAAATCGAATGGCTGATGCCCGTCCTGTATATGGTTAGCGAGATATGTCATGTGCTGTAGAAGCCCATATGTACCAGTTCCTGGACCAGCGCCGATCACGACTGCGTAGAATTTGGATGCCATTTTCTATGATATGAAGGGTATATTAACGTTTCAAATGTGTTACTGTATTGATGGAAAACGTGAAGCCGATCAGAAGAGAAAATATCAACATTTAGAAGAAGAGAATGAGGTCTTGGCCACACATTCATGCATCATATATAATCGTGTGAGAGGCAGTAAGACAGTGAGACGAAGTCGTCATGGCCAATCGGAGTTGTGATTTGAATTATTAATAACCCCGCAATGACGCGAGCTGGACCGGCAATGTCGACGGAGGCTGACACTGAATATGGTATTAGTGATACCCATTTTCTATAGTGGAATGCCGGATTGGAATTATAAATCATACTTCCATCTTGGTCGGCGTGTCAGATGGCTCTTCGGCTCGCTAGTGTGATATTGTCATCTGGATCCTATACTCACAACATTGTACACTGGGATAGTGCTCCAGATATCATCTTTAAGTGCCAACATCATCTTACTGCACCTCTCTTGTATCCAGGGGTAGACACTGGCAAATAGCATCGTTCACAGGCCCTGGACAAGAATATGGAGATATCCAACCTTGTACATGGCTGTTTCTGACCATTTTCTATCAGCCGCGTACTCTAAAGAGCCAAGAGTCATTATGCCATGAAGCACAGGAGGCGTGGGTATTATCAAGCAACTTTTTCTTAGAATGATGACCGTTGTCAGTTATCCCTCTAGCCGGGGTGCCCTACAATATAGCAGCCCCCGTCTAGCACAATTGCAGCCAGCTGCAGCGCTATATTTCTGGTGCGGGGCATCCTACAGGTAACTCTTGGACAGCTCACAGCGCTCCACCATATCCACGGAACCGTTCGATAGTGACGCTGTCATACTCTGGTCGATTGCGTGCTCCCCTTCACGGCCTGGCTATTGATTCCTCCGAGGCGTCCGCTCGTCGGTGTATATCAAACTTGATCAAAGCTCAGCAGAATGACTACAGCTCAACCGGATAGACCGGTGCACGCCGGACCCGAGGACTCGTGGCATGGCATCGTTGCACCCGATTCACGTTTTCCCCCAGAGGCTGGACGTTACCATTTGTACATTGGCCTTTTCTGTCCTTTTGCTCACCGCGCAAACCTTGTACGTCACCTCAAAGGACTTCAGGAATCTATCCCTATATCCATCGTGAAGCCATACCCCAAGGGTGACGACAAGGGATGGCCAGGATGGCAGTTCCCCGGTGCCCAGGGGCCAGACGACGTATATGAAGGCGCCACCGAGGATAAGCTGTTCGGCTCCAAGTATCTGCACGAGGTCTACTTCAAGGCCGATGCAGACTACAAGGGCCGATACAGCGTGCCGCTGCTCTGGGATACCAAGGAAAATACGGCGGTCAACAACGAGAGCCACGAGCTGCTTCGCTGGCTGCCGACGGCTTTCAACGACATTCTGCCCGAGGGCAGTCCGGAGAGAAAGTTGACATTGTACCCAGAGCACCTCAGGGCCGCCATTGATGAGATCGGAGAATGGATGCAGCGCGATCTGAATACTGGCGTCTACAAGGCTGGGTTCGCTACAGATCAGGAGACGTACAACAAGAATGTCCCCGTCGTCTTTGCCGCCTTGAACCACCTGGAGCAAATCATTCACCAGAATGCCGGTCCGTATATCCTAGGCAAGGAGCTGACCGAATTGGACATTCGGGCATATGCCACCATTATCCGATTTGACGCCGTATACGTGCAACACTTTAAGTGTAACTGTGAGTGATTTTTCAAAGCAATCTTGGGGCTGCATCATGAGAGTGGATTTATGCCCGGCTTCTGAATCTCAGCCGAGCTACACGGAGCTCATCCGTATCTGGTTGTTCATGTCAAGTTAAACGAGCATACTGCTAACCACGAGCGATGCAGTGGGCACTATTCGTGGCAATTACCCAGTGATTCATGAGTGGTTGAAGAACTTGTACTGGAACGTGACAGGCTTCAGGGAGACAACTGACTTTACTCACATCAAAGAAAACGTGAGTTTTTGTCATGGCTTAGCTTGTGACCGTGCAAAAGCTTACATCCAATAAATAGTATACCAAGAGTCACGACAAGATCAATCCACTGGCCATCACTCCCATGGGTCCATATCCGGACATAGAGGAAGGTGTTGACTTGAACTACCAGAAGCTGACACCTGGTCTCATCAGACACCCTGCTGTTCTGGAAAGACAAAAAGAGTTGTATGGGAAATAGTCCCTGGTCATTACATTACATAAAGCTATGTCTACAGCCTGTCAGAACAGTATGCATTATCAATTCATCGTCATACACCCAAGGGACCAAGCTTAGTAGCCGAGGGTCTCGAGCGTCAAGTCCACAGGTGCGCATGTGGGGTTCTGAGGAGGCTGGCTGTTGACCCAGGCGATCGACTGGTAGTAGTATCCTCCGGTGAACTGGTAGCACAGGTACCAGTTTGTCAGGTTGCCCTGGTAGACGACGGGGTTCGGGTATGTGTCGGTATTCTGGGTGTCGTCCACTCCTCCAGAAACGTAGAGCGTGCCATTCTCGGACTTCTGCAGGGTGGTGAAGTCGTCGTAGCCTGGGTAGAAGAGTGCAACATTGACGTTGGATCCCAGGTTCAGACCAATCTGGAGAGCCGAGGGCACTGAAGTCGTCTCGCCATCACCTGAGCTGAGAGGAAGCTCCCACTCGAGCCAGCCATAGGGATACACCTCGCCAGTGGTGGAGTCGTAACTCGAGTAGTTGAAGTTGAATTGCTGGTATGAAGTCGTGTCGTTCAGTTCACCTGCAATGTAGCAGAGTCCTTCTATGGCTGCACCAGCATGGCAAGCTCCAGCGTAGCCTGTGCTTTATTGTTAATATCACGGATACATATGAGTTGTCCAGGTAGACTGACCATCGATCGACGAATCCTCCTTGCCAGTGATGTGCAGACCGTAAGGACCAGTTGCGTTGAACGCCGTGACTGTGGCAGCACAGGCCAGTAGTAGAGCAGACAGCATCTTGCAGAATGTGGTGTTTGTGAGATCAATGCTTAGGTATGGTGAAAAAGAAAGCAAGAGTACAGCGATTGGATCTTGTCAAAGTGTTGAGAAGAACAACTTGATTTGGGAATATCAACATTCAAGAACACGAAATCGAGTCTGGGTGGATGGCAGTATTTATCTCACGGCAACCGGGAGCTCTTGCCTGGTGGTTGGGCCTACCTGTGTATCCATTCAGGATTGCACTAGCTTCGTTCGCCTAAACAAGTACGGTTGGTGACGGAGCTAGGTCATCCTGCACGGCAATCACGGATAGGCTCAAGACCGCTGATGGTGGCGATCTTGACCACTCGAATGGGTGGAACGCCAGCAGATCTGTTCACCAGAAAGGGATGGGAGCGTCAGCCCAATGCGGGGAGCCGAGATCAAAGGGACTTCTGGGCAATAGGGTCCCCCACCTAGCAAAGCTACATACATCTCGTACCTAGACTTCCATCATTGACATGTCCGTCCTACATATCAATGTAGGTACGAGACGCTGGACGGTAGTGACGATGTTGTTTTTGCTGAGACTATACGAAACACACCGCGAGCCTTCCGCGTAGCGTCTCACAAAAGCAAAGTAGACAGGCCAGGCTTTTTGGCTCTGTACATTAGTCGCGGGTGCAGGCATCGTGCCTGAGTTCGTTGAACCTTCGCAGAGCCATCAGCAATGACGCGAAAAGAAGCTGAAGAGCCGTCCCTGGCCCGCTGGAACTCTCAATGCTCTCGAGCCTGCTCGCTTTGTTGCGCTGATGTGCTTCGTATATGCGCGGGGGAGGCGCTTGGCATAGGTTGGTGACGATGGAATACACAACGTAGGATCGCAGATACCGCGGCAGTGTGTAGATCTCGTATTCCATGGCATCACATGAGCAAGGGTCTCATCTGCACTGACTCTGATGCTTATTTTCACAATCGATTTGGGCCGCTTCCCGCGGTGAGATCAATAGTCTTGGATGTTGCTTGCCCTGGTTTCTCCCTTCACGAACATTCAACACGAGCATCGAGCACTCTGTTTTGTTCTCGGTTTAGGACTGAGCTTATTATTGTTCCGTCTGATGCTAAAAGATCAGCCTTGAATAATGAACATCACTCGATATGCCGTCAGTAAGCTGTCGGTCCGAACTCACAGTCACCCTGTCGCCTTTTAGCGGAGATCCACCATACCGACTATAATCCAGTGCTGACTCGCTCGAACGTCTCAATCAGGACATTATCATGCGGAATGCGCCCAGACCAGCCAGGCTAATGGTAATTTATAGATGTTAATGTTCCCAGCCAAGTTAGCATCATGCTATTATTGGCATTTGTCCTAGGCTATAATTACCAAAAGAATTGTTGGGTTGACCACATATCAGGAAGATTGTTATTTGTTAATGGACAACAGCGAGCGAATCTAGCAGCGTGAATGAACACAACAGGGCCTGGATATCCGGGCTCGATGTCTTGGAAAAAAGGAATTCCAAATGTCCTCCGTACCTGTCACCATGCGCGTACGGCATGAACCCGATCTATGCAGATCGATGAGCTGTCAAACAACGTATCCCCTACCTAGCGAGTACAACCAACATAGGTACATATGTAGGAAGAAGCGGCTGGCGGCATCTCGACTTGCTCTGCTTCTTTGTCTTTTACCTCGTACCTACATGTAAGAATGTGTAATTCTTTGTGCTGGTGTGCCGTAATTTTTGGTGCTGGTACTCTGCCATTTTACCCCACCATACATTACCTAGCTCTATCGTCACCCACCCAGGTATGAACTTGCAACTTCATGTACAGACTTAAAAGCTCAACATTCAAGCAATTCGGTGTTGTGCCAGAGTGGTTAATGGGTTAGACTCGAATTATGAGCGTATCTAATGCCTTAGGGCGCGTAGGTTCGAATCCTGCCAACATCGTGAGACGTGTCCTTTTTGGCAATTTGTTGTTTTGTATTCAGAAGCTGGTTGAAGCATGCAGTTGACTGTGTTTCTATAGAGGTTTTCTTCGCCTTTTTGTCAGTGTGTATAGTGGAGCGGCAGCGCGGGCCGCTGTCAGCTGGCAGGTCTGATCAGCTGCGAGCTGCCCCACCACACCGTATCGATAAGGTACCCACCTCCCGCGCTCCCATCCCACGATGGATAGCACCAGAATTAACATCACATACATGTAGTAGGTAAGGGATCCCTCCAGCCAAGCCTTTGGGGTTCGTGATATTTTTCCTTCTTGTTTCCCTTGCGTCTTACTGCTTGTTACTTTTCACATTCGAATTATCTACAGAGGACTACAAATTTCCGGCTCTTAGTTCCGGGGCAAGCGGGGCTAGGTAGTCCAGCGCTACAGGGTGCTATAATTTGGATCAACAGTTCGCCTTTGCTATGGCGTAGGTGACGCAAATCGCCCTCACGTATCGACGCGGGAATAAATTTGGTGTAACCACGAATTTTCTTCTTCTCGAGCTGATCTTTCGGCTACAGTGTATCATCGAAAACCTTTCTGGAACAAACGGGACGGAACCGGCTTCCGGAGTTCTGGGACATTGCTTCGTCATAATGTCACCTCCTGCCATTGACTTTGTCTCTCTGGGCATGGTCGTATTAGAAAAGCTACGGTTACCAGATGGCAGAGTTTTCCACGACTGCGTTGGAGGATCTGGAGCTTACAGCACATTGGGCGCACGTCTGGTATCGACAACCCAGCCCGAGACTGTCGGCAGTCTCATTATTGCCGGCGACGATTTCCCAGTTGAAGTCGTTGAGCTGATCCGAGGTTGGGGCGTCTCGCAAGAGCTTGTCGTAAAGGATGGGAAATCCACCAGAGGACTTCTCGAATACCACGATGCAGATTTTGGACGTGGGAATGCTCAACTACGCTGCAAGGGCAAAACCAATACTGATGAGATGTCTTAGGTAAATCCTTTCGGTACCTGACCAACCCTCTGCAACCCGTCGCGAGCTCTTTAACACCCGAAATGCTTTCGTCCCGGTCTTTCCATATGCTTTACCGCCCAGCTCAATTAATGACTGAAGTCGAACAACTGAGATGTATGAGACTGGCAAGCGGCATGACAGAACCTCCAGTCATTGCTTGGGAACCATTTCCGGCCTTGTGCTCACCAGAAAACATGCATGCTCACATGGAAGCATGTAAGGTGGTGGACGTATTCTCACCTAATCACCTCGAACTGCTTGGGTTATACGCCGAAGAAGCAGAACCATTTGATCCAAAGATTGTTGAGTCATGTGCGACAAGGATCCTGAATGAAACCAAGTCGACAAGCACAAGCAAGAAACACCACGCAATCGTCGTGCGTGCTGGGGAACATGGCTGTCATGTCGTGTCTCAACAATCCACGTTTTGGCTCCCAGCATATCATACAAACAGTTCCAGTGTCATTGATGCCACTGGAGGCGGTAACACGTTTCTCGGCGCTTTCGTTGTCACACTCGCGAGGACAGGCGATCTCAGATCATCTGCGGTTGCTGGCAGTGTCGCGGCTAGTTTTGCTATCGAACAGATCGGACTACCGCATCGCACTCAAGATCAATCGGGAGAGCTTTGGAATAGAGAAAGTGTACTACATAGAGAATATCGGATGCGCGTTCAACAAGGGCCAGGGGGATGACAAAGCAAGTAAGATTGCGCTTGTACTAAAACAAGTTGCCAACAGCAAACCTTTGCGCACAATCGTTTTAATTATACTGTGACATTAGATATTTTTATTCTTGTCCGAACTCTGTTTCTTATTCTATAAATTCTATCCCAACCTCAATCATGGCGACCGGACGATATACTTAAGTAATGTTTTTATTCTCGACCGAGTTTTGTTTCTTATTTTACAATTTTTATCCCGACTTGAATCGTAACGATCGGATAATATATTATAGCAGTACTCGGACGAACTTTGTTCTTTATCTTATAAATTCTATCCCAACTTCAATCAGAGTCAATCTTGGAGACTAGACATATGCTATGGTCAAATAAAAGTACCTATTTTATTTTCACCTGATTTTTCTTTTACCTGGTGGGGGCGTTTGGCCATTTGATCTGATTCACCTCCAAGGATTGCAGGATTGCTATATTATCCCAAAGAACCATACTCCAGAGTCCGATCGCGGCAGACGTGACTCCTTCCCTAGACGTCAAGCACATGAAAGCGCTTGTGGCGGAGATCGACGATAACGATCTGACTTATAACAATAATAAGAAGAAATGGATTCCTAAAAAACGCAGATCCAAGAAGAGTTCCGGAGAGAAGAGCAAGGCCAAAACAGACTCCTTGACACAAAGTGACTCAGCAAAGAATACTGGTCAGGTTGAGCCCGTGGTCTCTGTTCAAGACCAGGAGAAAGCTTCGGAGCAACATAAGCAAGAGTTCTCTGTCCAGGAGAACGACCCAGAGAAGATGTTCAGCGGAAGATCCCATGAAATGGTTCAGATCACAAAGGGTCATTCAGGATATGGGTGTATACCAGACCATAGCAAAAAAGGCACCAAGAGATCTTTATCTCTACTACTTAAAATAATATAAAAACACAAGAAAAGAAAACAATTCAGATGATTCTATTATCTTATAATCTAATAAAAGATCAAGTTTTACTGATTTCTATCGATTCAAAGAACACAAAATCATAAAAAAGAACAAGAGATAAAACAAGACAATCTGGACGATTTTATTACCCCATATTCTGACAAATGATTCTGGTCAATATAAGCAGGAAGTCGCTGTCTCGGAGATAGACTCTACAAAGCATGCAGCTCAACATCAAGAGAAGTTCTGTCTTCCTATCTTGGGATCCGATAAGTCGGAGGTGTGATGGTAGCAGCCATCACTAACCTAGCCAGCTACGGGTAGCCCCACCCTGGGTGTGCGACCCCGCTTTCAGGCTTGTGGCCCACCATCCTATTGGTTGAAGCCCACAAAGTGCGATAGTATTTCGAATTCTGGCTGCTGGAGAGATTAGCTCTCCAGCTTTGTGAATCCACAACAACCTATCCTACGGCATAGTCCTATTTGCAGGACGTGACCGTGACACCAGCTGCACTGCTCCAGGGCAGCTCAATCGATGTTATTTGCGACACATCCAATCCGGTCGTCACCAGCAACGCCTCAAACAAACCGACAGGTATCGCAGAGCCATCTGGTAGCAATGCCCACAGCGTCATCACCAATGACTCTGTAACATTGAGTGATGCTGTGGCTATGCAAACGGCTCAAGATGGACCTCAACAGAAAATCTCGAAGCCGAAGAAGGTGCACTGGGCTGTTGACGACAACGTGGCTCCTCCGCAGAAGAGGCGCAAACACGACTTTGCGGTGTCTGTAGAGGATCTTCTGCCTCGGATCTCGAGCTACAGCAAAGCGCTCACACCAAAGCTGAGCGACGTCGAAAGGGAACTAGAAAAGTCCGCAAAACTCCAGGGTGATACCCTAGAACTCACAGCACCTCGTTTCCAGGCGCTATACCATTGTTTCAACAAACACTACATCCTTCAGCGCGTTACACAAATGGCAAGAGAATTTGCGACTGGAGCAAATATCACCCACATCTCCGACGATGCATCAACCGACCAGGAGGCCATTCTGAAGATGATTATCCAGTACAACTACTGATGCGTGCAGCCTAGGAGTGGCCAGCTGCCTTCATGTTAGGCTGGCCACGGGCAGGCCACGTGATTGACCAGCCCGGCCCCTACCCAGGTACTTGGACAGCTCCCGGGGGGAGCTTCCGGATGCCATCTTTCTTCTTCATCCTTCTTTCGTCCCATACTCTGTGTCATATGGTAGCACTACTTTGTGGGCTTCCTCTACACCGGATCGACCAAACCATCCATCGCGATGACTACCGCTCGATAGTTCTCGTGCCCGATCGGCTTGATGCGTGACCTGACGGTGCCATCCTACCTTCGTCAGGTCCACGGAGCTGCAAGCTCAGCACACCAAGAGCCGTTTGCACCGCGTGCAAACGCGCACCGCGAAAGCCTCGCCACAACACCAGAACACCAAGGAACCAGAGCCTCCCTCACAGGCAAGAGGATGCCCGCCACCGTCGATGACCAAACCACCAACCGTCAGCACCTGCCTCGCTGCTTTCAAGCAAGAGTTAGCAGTGAAGGCACCACAGTCCTAGGCAGCAGCCAGCGATGGCACAGCAGATCACAACAAAGCTTCAACGCAGCTACTAGCAGCTATCACTGTCCCCAGCGGTGTTTGAGCCGTTTCTGCCGAGGAACCCTGCCGAGCCGTTTTTGAGCGGGAGGCAGCAGTGGCGATACCCTCAGTAATCCTATGCGGAAGGTCGTAAAGTACTGGGCGGCACACAACATCTACAAGAAGATCCAAAGGATGATCGATGAGAAGATCAAGGCAAGACCAACGAATGCCCCGGGAAACCCCGCGAACATTGCAATGAATCAAGCAGTCACGGAGTTCGCGACACTGGAGAGTCAACATATGGATGTTGAGCCCCAACTCAACAAGTTGAACGTCTCTCCAGAGATCAAAAGGTGGAAGGCTGTTTATAGGCTCGGACAACAGCTGAACAGATTTGTTGACGACTACGGCAAGAGTGCAATTTAGGTCATCCCTTTCAACGCTTTAGAGGCCGCCTTTTCGGATGGCTTGGACTCAGTAAGTTGGAGTATTTGCTGATACTTATATTATAGACTAGCTAACCTCTGATTAGGCCAATTCCATTTACATCACGGTAGTTCTCGACTTCTTGGCACGGAACGAGGAGGTCCGGAACTTCATCAAGAATCTTGGGAAGCGGACCCGCGACACATTTCTGCCCTTGTCGAAAGTAGAACCCGCGGATCGGTTGACACGCCTGGCAGAAATGGAGGAGGCATTGGAAGCATTTGCCATCGAAATCAAGCTTGCAAAGTCGCAGGCACCTCTCAATGTTATCGCGCCCGG